GCGTTACATCATCCAAGCCCATACACCGAACCCAGAAGAAGACCAGGAGAAGATGGAAGCACCAGTGATGGAGTAGTGTGCTCACATTGCAGCGCTGGAGGGGATTGTCTGCAAGGTAAGTCTGCCATAATGTGTCCTGGCCATCTGCCTTCTGGTCTGCCTCTTCCCAGGGAAACTTCCTGCCAGTCTGCACAAGCATCTCATTGCCAAGCCTGCTGCCAGAAGTGAGCTTTCGTCTCCTGGACTCCTGACACCCGTGCCACTCTATGCCCTCTCTCACTCTCTGTGCTCTACCCCAGGGGTGTCTGGACAAGATATGTAAGAGGAGGGGATGACGTCACAACGGGGTGTCATCCGGTAACCGTTCCGGGTGACACCCGGCCTCGGGACGTCCCTGCTACAGGTGCCAGTATTTAAAAAAAGATGCATGTCAGGTGTTCTCTGGTCCATGCACCACCCTCAACCTGAACATGTGCAAATAGAATGGGAGGGTTGCAGGGCGTACCTGGGATCTATTTTGAAAATCAGCTAAATTGTGCTAACAGTGGGAGGGTCCTAAAGGGGTATGGTTGAAAAAACAAACCCTGAGCCTACTCTGTTCTGGGTCAAAAGTTTCACATAGTGCAGGAGTCAGGAGTGTATAATGCACAGTGTGCAGGGGTCCAGAGTGTGTAACACAAAAAGGGCAGTGGTCAAAAGTAGGGATGCACCGATACCAATGGTTTTTCGGTAATGAGTACCGATATTTTGCTGTCGGTACTTGCCGATATAGGGGTACCGATACTGGTGCTTCCGCTGGCATGGAGCTGGCTTCCTAGGCAATCGGGAAGCTGGGCAGCGGGTAATGACACACCGCCCGGCTTCTTGATTTCTTGGGAAGCCGGCTCCATGTTTTTGCCGGCTCCATGCTGATTGGCCAGGAAGCTGGCTTCACAGCCAATCAGCATGGAGCCGGCTTCCCGGGCAATCAGGAAGCAGGGAGGTCATTACCTACAGCACTAACTGGCAGAGGAAATATTCCTCTGACCGAAGGTTCCGTTATCAAGGAAGGTATCGGAGCATTTGGGCGAGTACGGGTACTCACCCTAATACTATGTATCGGCACTGATACCGATACTAGTATCGGTATCAGTGCATCCCTAGTCATAAGTGTATGATGCCCAGTGTACAGGGGTCAGGAAAAAGCAATGCACAAAGTACAGGGGTCAGGAGTGTGTAACACACAAAGTGAAGGGGTCAAGAGTGCTTAATGCCCTAAGTTCAGGGGTCAGGAGTATGTAACACATGAAGTGCAGGGGTCAGAAATAGGTAACGCACAGGGTGCAGGGGTCAGGAATAGGTAACGCACAGGGTGCAGGGGTCAGGAATATGTAACACACAGAGTGCAGGGGTCAGGAATAGGTAACACACAGAGTGCAGGGGTCAGGAATAGGTAACGCACAGAGTTCAGGGATCAGGAGAAAGTAACATACAGAGTGCAGGGATCAGGAGAAAGTAACATACAGAGGGAAGGGTTCAGGAGTAAGTAACAAATAGAGCACAGAGGTCAGGAATAGGTAACGCACAGAGTGCAGGGGTCGGGGTAAGTAACACACAGTGTTCAGGGGTCAGGAGTGTGTAAAACATACATTGCAGGGGTCAAAAGTGTGTAATGTCCAGAGTTCAGTGGTCAGAGTAAGTAATGCAGAGTGCAGGGGTCAGGTTCCTGGATCCTATACCTAGGAAAGGGATATCAGAGGGAGGAAGGGGGTTGTGCAGTAACTGAGCAGCAGTTAGAAGTGTAGAATAAACTCTGCACATGCTGTGTGGATACATGGATGAACGCACTTCATGCTGGAGGAAGCCAGACACTGCACAGGAGGTTGTTGCTCGTTACTTTGGTAACAGCTTGGCTCTAGCTGAGATGATTGGTTACTCATCGATGGAGAGGAAAGCCTCAGTAGTAGGGGCCAGCTAATCCAGTGTCCATGCACAAGATCAGGAGGTAAGAGGGCTTCTTGTTATACAGATCTGGTGAGATGGCTCGCCTCCAGGACTTCTCTAGAGTCTCTCCCATCCTCTGGAATTCTTTACCCCAACCTGTCCGTCTGTCACCCACCGTGACTGCCTTTAGGCGTTCCCTAACGATTCATCTCTTCAGCAAAGCCTATCCTACCTCAACCTGATTGCTCAACCATCACGTTCTCAGACAATTCATCCCCACACAGCTCCCTCCTCATGTATTACTGGCCCCTCCCTTTTAGATTGTAAGCCCTCAGGGGCAGGGCCCTCCCTATTAGATTGTAAGCCCTCAGGGGCAGGGCCCTCCCTATTAGATTGTAAGCCCTCAGGGGCAGGGCCCTCCTTACCATCCTGTCTTGAATTGTATTGTGATTGTAATATATTCCTTATATTGTACAGCTCTGTGCAAACTGTTGGCGCTATATAAATCCCGTATAATAATAATAATAATAATGGCTGAATCCACAGAATTGCACTGAGAAGGGAGGAGAGAGCAGGATACTTCCTCCAGCAGCTATTGGCAGGCGTAACATTGCAGTCACTCCTCTCAATCAACACAGAAAGCCAGAGAACTGAGCTCGGCACACAGAGCGCTGATACGATGAACAAAAAGCATCAGGCCGAGGGAAATCTTCTGGCAACAGCTTCCTGAGCGGCTCTCAGTCATCAATCGGCCAAATGACAAGAGGCGCAAAGGAAACTCATGCTGGAAGGTATGTCACAATCCGTGTCCACAAGGGGCACCCACCTTTCCTCTAGCCAATAAGGAACCATTGCACACTTGGTGTGGTACACTTACTTAAGCGCACAGAAATCTGTCCCTAACAAGCAAGAAATCAATTGGTTGTGTTTGCCCCCCCAGGCCAAATGTCGCAGTCCTCCCGTGTCATACACATATACAGGTGACATCTTAAAACAATTTCACCACCAAGCTACTATTTCACTCCCTTGTTATCTCTCGCCTTGACCTCTGCAGCTCCCTTCCATTGGCCTACCTCTACATAGTCTGTCCCCCTTTCAGTCTTTAATGAATGCTGCTGCCAGACGTATTCACTTTACCAATCGCTCAGTGGTCACCAACTGTCTATGCCAATCCCTCCACAGGCTTCCATCCCCTGACCCTCGATGCCAATCCCTCCACTGGCTTCCATCCCCACACCTCTCTGCTAATATCTCCACTGGCTTCCATCCCCATCCCTTCTCTGCCAATCCCTCCACTGGCTTCCATCCCCACACCCCCCTGCCAATCCCTCCACTGGCTTCCATCCTTTTTCCCACCCCTCTCTGCCAATCCCTCCACTGGCTTCTATCCCCCACCCCTCTCTGCTAATATCTCACACTGGCTTCCATCCCCATCCCTTCTCTGCCAATCCCTCCACAGGCTTCCATCCCCTGACCCTCTCTGCCAATCCTTCCACTGGCTTCCATCCCCTGCACCTCTCTGCCAATCCCTCCACTGGCTTCCATAGCTATCTCTTCTCTGCCAATCCCGTTCACTGGCATCAGTCTCCATCCCTTCTCTGCTAATCCCTCCACTGGCATCAGTCTCCATCCCTTCTCTGCTAATCCCTCCACTGGCTTCCATCCCCTCTCTGCTAATTTGCTTCTGCTCCCTCAACAAAAAATTTTTTCAACAAACCGATAACAACATGCAAAGCCATCCACAACTCTGCTCCGAGCGACATCACCGACCGCGTCTCAAAATGTCACCCAAATTGTACTCCTCGCTCCTCTCAGGACCTCCTGCTTTCTAGTGAAGTCATCACCTTCTCAAATGAGCACCTGCAGGCCTTCTCTAGAGCTTCCTTCATCCTCTGGAACTTCCTACTCCAACCTTTCCAGCTATTTCCAACTCTGTCCACCTCTAGGCAATCCCTGAAAACTCATCTCTTCCTCCAGGCCTTCTCTAGAGCCTCCTAGTCAATCCCTGAAAACTCATCTCTTCCTCCAGGCCTTCTCTAGAGCCTCCTAGACAATCCCTGAAAACTCATCTCTTCCTCCAGGCCTTCTCTAGAGCCTCCTAGGCAATCCCTGAAAACTCATCTCTTCCTCTAGGTCTTCTCTACAGCCTCCTTCATCCTCTGGAACTTCTTACTCCAACCTGTCCAGCTATTTCCTACTCTGTCCTCCTTTAGGCGATCCCTGGAAACCCATCTCTTCAAAGAAGCCTATCCCACCTCCACCCAACAACTAAACTTTTACTTACTCCATCAACTCATTCTGTCACAGTTATTACCTTTTGTATCACTTGCCCCCTTCCTTTTAGATTTTAGTAGCAGGACCCTCCTGCCCATCTTGTCTTTTACATTAATGCCCCTCCCCTATTTTATCCAGGTCCTCCTGTAATGTTATATGTTAATGTTTTGTTGGCACTTTATAGATCCTATAATAATATGAATCTGTATTTTAAATTCCTGGTAGTCCATGAATCAATGTTCTCAATCTAATTTGGAGTCAAAGACTTGTGGTAGTTCCAGCACTGCGTCGGGAGAATGGGGACATATGGCCAACAAAAGTATTATTATCTCATCCTCTAACAGTACAACAGCCAAAATGCGTGATGGTGCCACCTTGTCCACAGAAACCCAACTCAATACAACCGCATCCCTCTCAATCAGTCCCCTTCCTGGAAGAGCCCATCGCTTTCTAAGAGCTACAAATCATAACGTCTCCAGCAAAACAAATATTATACTGGAGGAAAATAAAGAATCGCTGAGAAGAACATTCAGATCCTGACATCTCATTCATCCAAACTATTCAAAACAACAATTAGGAAGTGGAAGAGGACAGAAAGAGCAAGCCTTGGCACTCAGCCAGGCTCCAATGTCGGCAAAAGACGTCAACTAAAGAGCTTTTAGAGCTGTGAAGTTCACATTGCTGGAGTCCTTGTTTCTTCCGTGAAAGCTCACAGAAGTGTTTTCCGTTCTGTTTATGATTGCAAACACTCTACAAAGTCTAGACCTTAATCCCAGATAATGCGGCTGCTCATTTCAAAGTACCTGAAAGCTTTTAGCATTAATACTTCTCTGGCTGTCTGTGGCCCTCAGCTTGGTGTCCAGGACTTTCATTAAGGACTCGGTGTTGCGCACATACTGCAGATCTCGAAATGTTCGTAGGTCAAGGACCTCCATAGACTGGGAGATGTTCTGCACCTGTAAAGGAAACAAACAGTCAGCTCCTTCATACATACAGTGTTTCCTTGGAAGAAAAGATGGCGGTTTAACCTCCCATTAAGATTTTAGACATTTGTTGCTATCTATCTATCTATCTATCGTGAGATCTGGTGGACTTCACACATATGGTGAGCACTTAAGGAACAGCCTTTTATTTCTTCCGTAACAGAAATCAAAGTTTCAACAATAACAAGGTCCGCTTGTATTTCAGCAAAACCGCATGTATGACAATCTCACCAACTCAAGTGTCAGGAACCAGATCTGAACCCAGGGCCTCTGCTGTAGCTGGCAGTGGTTCTACCTGCTGAGCCACCTTAGAACCTTGGATAGCTCCTTGCCTGATCTCCTATGTGATCCTCAGGTAAACCTAGTTTCTGCTGAACTCTGAACTCCTAGCTCCTCCCTTGAATTTCCTATTTTAGCCCCGCCTCTGCACTTCCTGTTTGCCAGATTATTGTGCTCCTGCCAATATCTTCCTTCCAGCGCCTTCTGTGATACAATCCACTCATACTGCTACCCGTGTACACACCTTTGGCTGCTGATTCACCGACTACTCTCACCGTCTTCTGCTTCATACCTGATACCTTTGGCTCCTGACCTCGGCTTGTTCTCTGACTACGCTTCTGCCTGCTCCTATACTACCACCGTCTGCTTGTGTACCGAACCCGGCCTGTTATACCATGAATTGCCTGCTGCTTCAGCTACTGGACTCTGAGCCTGATCCCGGATCGTGACATCCAAGTTGTTGCACAGACTCCCTCTGTCCCAGTCCCTGGACATTAGGGTTTTTCTTAACAGAGCCACAGTCCACCTCTCGTGGGACTCTTAAACACATCCCTTGTGTGCACAGGTGTGCAATCATCAGGTGCTGGCCACTACTAAACCACAGACCCAGGAATGGAGATATCATCACTTCCAATTTTCTTAGAAATCTCCCGGTTCCAGGATCCCATGCCAAATCCAGAAAACCTGGGAAGAGCCGCAAAGTCAGCTCTTTCCCAGTACAGGAACTTGCCTCCTGGAACTGTTCAGCCCTTCTGGCTGAGAGTCCTGGGTGACTAAAACCCCCCCGTTCTACCGTGGGATTCCCACACAATACCACACTATGTAATCATCAATGTTTCCATTCAAATATACTGTATATATATTTCTGTATGTGGCAAGCTTTTTCCAGTGTGCAAACAAAAGAGCAAAAGTCTGTATGTTGACCCAAGCCCTCCGGAGCTTCATACTCTACTCTGTGTATTTCACAAGAGCTTTACATCTCATTAGCCCATGAAGTGTTCATTCCATGTACCGTGCACCGTGCCGCCTCTCACTTATTAACACAGCAAAGCCAGCGGACTTTTCAATAGTGAATTCTGACAAAAGCTTCAATATAAAAGAATAATAATACACACATACTGTACGTTTACTGAGTGCTGCAAAATGGTAAGCGAGCCATCGTGGTTGTGCCCCTGTAATGGCCAATAGAATATGTCTTGTTCTATGAAGAAATCTCAGCAATCCCAATTATTTGACTACAACATTATTATTATATTTATATGGCGCCAACAATTTGCGCAGCACTTTACAAAATGGAGGAGACAGTACAGTTACGATACAATAGAGTTTCAGTACAATAGGGTTAGGAGGGCTCTGCTCGTGAGAGCTTACAATCTAGTGGGAGGGTTGAGTGATACACAAGGTAATAATTGTTTAGATTGAGTTATTGGAGGAAGTAAAAGGCAGTTATGTTGAGATGAGATCGGCTTCCCTGAAGAGATGGGTTTTTAAGGATCGACTAAAGGTGGGCAGTGTAGGAGATAGGCAGACAGATTGCGGTAAGGAGTTCCACAGGATGGGGGGTGCTCTGGAGAAGTCCTGGAGGCGAGCGAGGGAGGAGGTAATTAGAGAGAGCAGGAGGTGTTGAGAGGAGCGGAGAGGATGGTTTGGGTGATACTTTGAGATGAGGTCAGTGATGTAGGTTGGGGCGGAGTTGTGGATGGCTTTGTATGTTGTTGTTAGTGTTAGAATGCTTGACAGGTGAAATCTCACGAACACTAAACACCTGTACATTCAAGTATTGGGTACTATAGACCAGTGCTCCCCAACCTTTTTATCTCCGCGGACCGGTCAACGTTTGATAATTTTACCGTGGCCCGCTGAGAGGGGGACGTTGATTGTTTATATTTTAGATTGTTTTGATTTAATAATTTTAATTTAATTGTATTTAAAAATGCCTTCAAAATAAAATAAAATACAGTTACACCAAAAAATGAAAGCGTTGGAATTCTTCACCTATTCCACCACCGAAAAACTGGGCGAGGTTACGTTAAAATGTGTGACCACGTCACTGGTCACACATTCTAACGTAGTCTCAAACTTTGATAGATCACATGCCTACCTGTAATCATTTAATCAGAGAAATAGATTATAATAGGGAACATTACAGTGTAATATTCCCCATTATAATCCACGTCTAATGACATGATGTAAGACACCCTTCCCCCGCTCAGACTCACCCTTCCAGGAGCAGCAGCCATGTGTTGATGTGTGCACTCACTGCAGGGGGCGGGGCGTGTGACTCACCTCCCCTCCCGCCGCCTGTTACTATAGACGCGGCCGGGAGGGGAGGGGAGTCACAGGACCCGCCCCCTCACTGTGAAGCCCGTCGGCAGTGCGGGGCCCCGGTGTTCGAACACCGGGACCGTGCACTGCCATATATTGCATGACCGGACCGCACTGAGACTGTGCGGCCCGGGGGTTGGGGAACACTGCTTTAGTGCACCTAACGAATCCCTTAAAGTGACCCTGCCGCTACAGCATACAAGTTAGATGAAGCCATACTTGTAAAAAGAAGTAAATACTTACCTTTTCTGTAGCCCATGCAGAGCTGTGGGGTACCCAGGAGATCAGCACCGCCTGATGTGATGGTTCACCTGCAGACTTCAGAGGAAGATTTCTCTGGATCAGAGCGGCGTTCATCACCACGGGCACCGGGAACATCTTCCCTTTACTCGCACAGCCACAGAAAATATTACCAGTACAAAGTTCCAAACTCTTTCCGTGGCTGGGAGATAACGGGCTTTAGTTCCATTTCCCAAATCATTTTCTAATGAAATTAACCTCGGCTTAATTAAATTAGAAATGTTTTTACTGGATATTAATTGTTTAATTAAGCCGCGGTTAATTTAGGTGGAGAATATCTTGGGAAACATCGGGCAGATCATTATGTCCCCGGCGGGACAGAAACAATTGCTGACTCTGCAGACGTTCTCCGATCCGTATTTGTGGAGCTGGGAGGGTTTAGGTGCATGGTGGTTTATCTGTAAATACATTCCTCACCGCTGCAGTTTATCTTAGGGCTGCACAATGTCTCATTCATTCTTATTTGGCTATAAAACATTTCCTGCACTGCAATGTGCACTACGATTGTGGACAACGGACCATCGCACCTACATGAGCTTGTAGGACATGTTGTTCCAGAACCCACTCTTTGAGGCTATACCGGCCTGCACTCTTCTGTAAAGACTTTTTACGAGACTGGTCTGTGGGAATTTGTGCCGCAGGGCTAATCTGTTACCTGTGCTGCAGCAGGCTTGCATTCATTTTTACCTCTTTGCTGCTGTGGGTCTGCTGGCACCTGTGGTGCTCTGCTCTTGCTGCACAGAACTAGCAGTTATGAGTGTTGCCCGCCTCACCTGATACTTAATATACCTTGTAGGGATACACAGATACCGATGCTAGTATCAGTATCGGTGCCGATGCCGAGTATTTGAGCGAGTACTTGTACTCGCCCACATGCTCCGATGCCTGGCCCGATACTTGAGCTTCTGGTATCAGGAAGCCGGGCAGCGAGTCCTGACACACGGCCCGGTTTCCTGATTGGCCAGAAAGCCGGCTCCATGCTTTCTCGTCACCTGGTGCAGATTAGCAGGGAAGCCGTCTCCATGCTCCCTCGTCACTAGGTGACGAGCAAGCATGGAGCCGTGAGCCGTGACAGGATCGAGAGGCGAGCGAACTCGGTATGTGTTCGCTCACCTCCCGATCTACTGAGCCGCCCTGTAACAGTCTCATTGTCACAGGTCGGCTAGAACTATGAGGTGAGTGAAAAGCACCCCCCTCATAGTTCTCCTTTAATGGGACTTCCGGTATCGGTAGCCGTATTCAGTATCGGCGAGTACCGAAAAAAATATATCTGTACTCGTACTCAATACAGGAAAATCGGTATCAGTGCATCCCTAATACCTTGCTTCTTGTTACTTCCTGCCCAGCCTGCTTTGCTTGAGCAACACTTCTCCGAGCTCCCATCTTTGCCTTTGCTCCTGACTTGCTTTTCCCTGGATTGGCTCTTGGCTTGTTCTCCTGAATATCTTTGTCTGCTGCCAGCCCTGACCTTCGGCCCGGTTCCCAGATCTCTGTTTTCTCTCCTGCCCTCTTACTTTGCCAGCGCTGACTGGAACGCAGCAACGTTCTCCGTCTCCTGTTTGTACGGGTACTCTTTACACTCGAGCGGGTTGAACCCAGGAGTCGCAAGCTGGGGTCAGCACGCAGCTAAGCCCAAACTTCCGTGAGGGGGGTCCCTGGCAGAATACTGACTAGCCCTACGACCCCATGCTCTGGAGGATCCCACGTTGCCTGCTTGCTTCTGGGCTCACATCCCTGGAACTGTGACAGGTACTGATCTTGGATAAAGAGACCTGGCTCACAATCAGCGTTCCATTGAAACCCAAAGGTGTTCATTAGGGTTGAGGTCAGGGCTCTGTTTAGAACACTTGAGTTCCTCCACCAAACTGGTCACCCCATGTCTTTATGGAGCTGGCTTAGTACACAGGGGACAGTCATGGTGGAAAGGAAAATAGCCTTCACCAAACTGTGACCACAAGGCTGGAAGCGCCCAATTGTCTAAAATACCTTCATATGCTGTAGCATTAACTGTATCCTTCACTAGAAAGCCCCTGACATACAGTATTTTTGGCCATAAATTGTAGGTGTAA